CTTCATATGGACACATACCCCCTAACCATCTTCATATGGACACATATTTTATTTGCTGCATTATACAAACTATAAATTGCCTTCTTCTTCTTTCTACTGCTTTAAAATTCGGCGTAATTTGTCATATTTTGTCATATACAGCAGAAAAGTTAATTATTTAAACTAATGTGAAAGTAGGATATTATTTCTTTCAATTTGATGTATTTAACTCAGGTATTATTAATAAGCTTAGGAAAGCAGTTTGAGGAAGGAATTAGACGTAATCCGGTATGAATAGATGTCATTATTTGATATCAGACAAAGTCAGCTATTAGCATTCAATGTATGGATGTTCTACTAGTCTACCTGTGTTGGGTACTGGGCAAGGTCATAGTGGGAACCTGGTCTCTAAAGGTTATATCATTTATAACAATTTAGATCTCTATATGGAGTTTGATTTAGGTTGCATGCAATGTACAACGTGTGTAAACATTTTTTTCTTGTCATCTCCTTATAAGGTCGTGTCCTGATGTCATCTTCCTAACGGTGGCTCAGCCTTCAATGGATAGAAACAGTGGAAGGAAATCATCACTTCTCAGCATTTCTAAAAAACTGAAATTAAAGAATAATCCATCTCGTGTACGCTTCTCAGAAGAAGTAGAAGAAGACGCTAAGATTGTAAGTAAAGAACCATGTTAATATTGAAATATCTTATTTTCTCATTTTTTAAAAAAAACCTCTTTAATCTTAATAACTTCCGCCACAAGCATAAATTTAAAAATTTCCCAGTAGGCATACTTGGTTGCTAGGTGATAAATTCTGCTCTTCCTCTGTCAAGTGATAGTAAGAGCATATTTCAATCATTTTTAAAATTAGTGTCTTGCTGATAAAAAAAAAAACTTAATTGTACTTGTGTGCATATAACTGCCATGGGAAGATTAGAAAAATAATCTTCTTAGAAACACCTGCAAGTGATCAAAACTTTCCTAGAAGTTGGTTGCCATAGCAATCAGTAGACAATAACATGCTGTGAAAACCTCTTTGGCAAATGTTCATTTTAGCCTTAATTACTGATAGTGTAGATTGTGAACCTACTTTGTTATTCATTGACAACAATTCATCAATCTATCATTTCAATTTATGCCAATGTTATACTTTAAGTGCATTGTTTGTCCTCTGCATAGGTGTCATAATGATGTGAAGGTTAGAAACCATAACTTCACTCAACTCACTGACAGTTATTTTTAATTTCATATGCAAATTACCTTTTTGAATGCCAAAGACAACCTATAACACCTTTCAATATTTTGTAGAACTGTAGCCAATAGAAAATTATGTCTATTTTTTTTAATAAAAATTATATCACTGACATTATAAAAAAATATAGAAAATTGTGATAAATTCTGGCATTCAAATGGTAAAATGTGATTTCTAAGCAATTTCTCTAGACATAGATAAAAACTTTATTCCAATCATGTACTACTTGTTGTTGATAACTGTCATGCATTGTATGATTTGAATCACTGTTGTACTCATTCTTTAAACAATATATATTATTACAATATGCTGTAAGAATTCAAATCTGCCACTGGGAATGTTTCTGTTGAAATCATGAATAATTTTGAATACAAAATTAGCTAATAATTTGCATTGTGAATCATTCTTAATTAAACAAAATGGTGTCTGACCAGTGTTCAACAATCATTTGATGAATACAATTGAAATATCATAAGATGGAAAAATGATTTAATTGTCAAAATTGATATTAGTGGATCACACCAATAGTACTACAAAATGAATATTCATAGTTGACATAATTTTACTTCCAATCAAAAGATATCTGTTAGGTAAAAAACATTCGGGTCAAATTATAACACTAGCAACACAGTATGTATCATTAATGTTAAAAATAGGAACACAAATATATCACATGTAGCTCATACAATTAAGAGAAATGCGAGATAAAAAAACATACTCTCTTGAGCTTCCAGCATTCTATAAATCTAACCACTGAACTGTGTCTCCGACAAAGATGAATGGGTAGTTAAGTAAAACATGTATTCTGTGTTTCTAGCGTTCACTTTATTACTGCTTTGTGCATTCGTGGGACAAAAAACACGATACCGCTATTAGTTTTGATTGTTTCTTTCCTGACGTGTGAAATAAAACACTGCGCTGCAACACTTCTTCTAAAGACAGAAGTAGATCGATTGGAAATGTGCATTTGCGTGAACCGTAAATTCGTGTCAGCAATTACTGCGTTTGGTGACAGGAAACTATAAAGGCACTACATATTCTTGATATTATGCTCCTCAAATAGTTACATCAAATAAATGACTAAGAGAGGGGGTACCAAACTTGTTTCCATGGTAACATGGACTCTGATTTTCCTGTTACGTTGCTCTCTCAGATTTGTTCATTTTGTGATGATATTTTCAATTCTCTAATTGAAATGTGCATTGCTAAAGCAGGAGCTATCTCAGACAAGAGGCTGCCTGTTTTTTATTTTACCTTACCTGAAAACAAAAATTTTTACAAGTTGTCAGAGACAAATATATTTTGGCAGATTGCTAAATAGAATAATATTTTTCTTGACCTCAAATTTATATTTAATATCTGACTAAAATGTAAGATTAATTAACACACTAACCCTTTTAACATCGTAATTTTTGTCGCCACAATGAAAGTGCATTATTTTTATACATTTTTCTCCAAATTCTTTGTTAGTTTTTCACCAAATCGGTATAACTACAAATTGGTAACTTCTTGAATTAGCAAGGTCTTAAATAAAATTCATGAAAAAATATGGAAAACATTTTTCGAAAAATGAAAAAAGTTGTCGTCAGTGTTGATTGAAAGGTTATATCTGTCTTGTAGTTCAAGACACAGATCTTCACAGATAATTTGATCTGACATTATCTAGCAGATTGCATATGTGTTTAATCAACCTTGCTTCTTTACACCGGTACTTTCTAAACAAGCAACATACTTAAATTCACATGTTGCTGGTTGCTAAGATACTGCCATCTTCCAAATGAAATATATAGAATGTAACCTAATTCCCCCGATACCTAGATTGATAGTTGTTTTGATTTATTTTGCCTCCAATCAGAAATATGATTCATGCTATCAGCAACATTTTTCAATCTTATAAAAGTATCATGAATCATATTGCTAATAAAAAATAATATGATGAAAAAATGAAAAGCGCTCTCAATAGTCCAGACAATTCTACAAACTTGTTCACATAATAGTAGGCTTTAGGAGAATCTAAATGAAAATTATACCCGAAAATAATATTGGTATTCCAAATAACTTTCTTTCTTTTATGACTCCACACAACACTATCAGGTGATTAGCTTGTGCTAGATTGCAAACCATGTCACTCTCAACT